GTACCCATTTCTTGAGTATGGTGAGGGTATATTTGACAATATTGTAAGGGGGAGACTTTTCCTTGTGATAGTCCCTAGTGTAACCATGATGCGCTTGAGAAAAACTCTAACAACTTTCTTGAAACTTTGTAAACAACTCTACATGTCTTTTCATGAATAACAATCTTTTTCTTTCACATAAAACACCTTTAAAAATACATGGATTACAACATATTGTCTTATAGTCGTCCTTGCAATCATGAATTGTGAGTTAAATAATGTCATTACATGAATATAAAGCCTTACAAGTTTCAAAATGTGTTTGGCCATACAATGCATACCGAGAACAATCAAGAATTTGATTAACTTCCATCACTATATCAATAACATTTGTTGTTGGAAATTTCTTAAGAATGCCACATGGTGAAATCGAGTAAAAAAACTCATCCAATGAAACGATAAATATATAAATATCCAACCATTGACATCAACAACTGGTACAATTCCAACATATAAACACGAAAAACAATGGCTCTATGTAATAGCATGACATACAATTTCCCATTATTTCTAGAGGTAATAATAAAAATGTTCCCTAATCAGTTAAGATCTTGAATTGCCATTGATTCTAGAGGTAGTAATAAAACGATCCCCCTTGATTACTCAACACCTGTAATTGTCAATATAAGAATTCAAGTAAGAAAAAGATCAAAGAAAGAGAGTTGATATCTCTTGTACTACCAAAACAGAATAGAACCACAATGATCCACGACATGGACTGAAAAGCATGTGATGTTTTTCCTACAAACACAAATAAACCGCTCTTTTATACACACAAGATGCTCTCGATGAATGTATGAAACAGTTGAATAAAGAAAAGCTGGTAGTAAGAATAGAAATTCAAATACATACCAGGAAGAAAGACCACCTGACCTCTATTCAAGTCAATTTGGGAAACCATTTGGTCCATTTTATGCAAAATGGTCACCATTATAAGAGTTCTAACATACCGAGTCCTTATTTTCGATGCCCATCCTAGATCTTGATATCTGAAAATGAAAGTAAATATGGACATAGCTTTATAAAAGGACTTCACATATGTAAAAGATCAAAAGTAACAAAGACGCATTCTCATTAGCATGTAAATATATCAATAAATCTGTTTATGGAAAAAACCAAGATATGAAGATACATAAGTTGCCTCAAACTTTCTTTGAGAAATTTCATCGAACACCTGATATGAAGGGGATGTTGGGTGCTCTGCCCTACATCAGTTTATTATAACCCTACAAAAAGACGTTTTCAAATGACAGTCACAAGATTAAATCCAAAATAATGTTATGGTTGGAGATTTCTAAATTGAAAAGACACAAAACACAGAATGGTAGGAAATAAGAGCCATGCAAAACAAAATACTTTTGTCACCTATTTTGTCGAACACCTTACGTGCATATTCCAAATAACCGCAATTCATATACATATTGATTATATGGTTGCTTATGTAAGGGTTTGGCAATAATAACATTTCAATTGTTCTTGTCAAACATGTAGGTTGTAGCCATATATACATTGGCTTTGAGATAGGCAACCATGGCATGCACACTTCTGGAAGAAAGTAACTTATGTTTATTGGATATGATCGATGTCATGAATATTTGAGAATATATATCAGAAATTTTGGAGGAAGAAAGACACATATCAACATCGATGAACTGATTACAAATTTAGGTTGAAAACATTTGTTGTTTCCATATTTATTGCAGTTATTTTGGTATAAGATAAAACTATTCAAAATTGAAATGCTCGTTTATATGGAAATCAATTTATGAGCAAAAGAGCGGGAAATCAATTTATGAGCAACGCTGGGGGGAATTGCCATGTGGAAAAATACAGATTTAAAAGCGGAACATGTGGCAAGTTTTTATTACGAAGAGAGATATGAGATATCCGATCATAAATATAACAAAATGATGACAATTCTAGATAGCACAATTGGGCTACCAGATGGGCAGGCCGGACTTGCATGCTTCGTGATTGCGTACCAAGCCCAAGACGGCATAGTTTACTTTCCATATATTCAAATTGGGTTTGATTTAATTCCCATAAATATTAATTATTTAACTTAGATTTGATAGTTACATTATTTCCAAAAATGTACTTTTTTATTTTAATGATTACTGATCTTCATAAATTTACATTTAAGCCGTGAACTTCCTATATATACGTTCTGAGTCATGAGCTGGTGTGTTCATTTTTTATTTTAATTTTATAATTATAAATTGTTCTAGATCAAAAAATGCTATAAATTTCATATATTTAGCACGATTAATTATTAATCTTTCTGAGAATTTTGATAATACCGCTAAGCGAAATATCATGATGAACTTAACTTTATATTAGCCGTTAATAAGCTTTCTTTCGAGATTTGGCTCCATAATGTAATGAATCCACACATTTTGCCTACTATAGTTGAATATTTTATATTTATTTTTACGATAACAAAAAAGTAATTATTGATCGGATCTTTTGTAAAATCTGTTTCTGATTAATTATCATTTTGAAAATAAAGGGGTATATATATATATATATATATATATATATATATATATATATATATATATATATATATATATACTAGCCGTTACCCGCGCACAGCAGCGGGGACAAATAGTTTCTTTCAACGATATTTTTTTTAAAGAAAAATGTTATGTTCCAAAAGAAAGTTCATGTCGTGGGTGAGAGGAAGGGCGGTAGTCATGATAGTTGTTAGTTGAAGGCGGAAGTAGGCAGAGCGGCTGTGGTGGTGGTGGTTATACTGTCTTGGTTACTGGTTAGGGTTCTTACAGAGAGTGTGCGTATATTTCTTACTTTGAAGGGATTACGAAGATAGATATTATGAGATGGCTTGTTATCAATGTGAGAGAAGAGATCCTCTATAAATTGTTGATATTGACCGCTTTAAATGGCTGAAGTGTTGAGATTGGCGGGTTCAATTTACAAATGAATTCTTATATTAATTTGATACCAGATTTTTAGGGGATAAAAGATAGGGTTAATGTTTTAATATTATTATATTATAAATGGGTTGTACTTCAAGCTTAATAGTTTGGACGTCTTAAAAAAATAATATTATTATATTCAATCTATTTATAGAAATAGTTAGATTTCTTTTATAAGTAGTAAAGATATATATATATATATATATATATATATATATATATATATATATATATATATATATATATATATATATATTAGTTTATAACCCGTGGGAACTACGGTTACAAAACTAATTAAACTTTCAAAATGAAAATTCAAAATTGTTATTCAATTATTTTAAATAAATTATTAATTAATAGATATTTTTTAATTATATAAAATTATAATCGTTAATTTAAATAAATATGTAAATTATATCACCTTATAATTTGTATTAATTTTATTTTATTTATAATGTTATTAATTTAATATAATTAGAGTGGTAAATTTAAATTTTAAAATTTGAAATGTACAATTAATATGTTGACAAGTGTCATGCATTAATTAGAATACTAATAGGGTGACACATGGGAAAAGAAAAATAAAATATGTATTAATTAGGACCTAATTGGATGACGCATGTCAAAATAAGATTAAAACTACTTTTTTATTAAAATAGGGATATATATATATATATATACACACACACAGAGTCACATTTACATAAAAGTTGCTGATAATTCTACAACATTTTTTTATACATCCACGGAGTTTTAAAGTAAATTGACAGTTGTGCCCTTCATCATTTATCTTTAGAATGCAATTAATTTATTCAAAGGCAAACGTTCATTTTTGATAAACCATTACACCAAATGAACTCATACCTCGTCTCACTGTGTTGGAGATCCCTTTGAACCACAATCTCCAACAGAATCCTATCACCTCCAACCATCATTTTCACCTAAATATGCTCTTTTTCTATTGCATTTCTAGTAATAAGCCATGCTGTTCCAATTCCCCATTTTAGATCCTTTGTACACAAAAAGGAAGATAGCAATTAAGAGGGGAAGAGAGACTTGCACCAACGGACTGGAATCGATGAGGACAAACCAATTGTTGTCAACATCTGGAATTGTGATCATAAGCAAGCACCAAAACCATACTTGCGAGGCTAATACAGGTGCAAAATGTGAGCAACACCGCTTTCTCTCTTCATGGAACCATAGTGCCTTCGAACTTGTTGCAAATTGCATTAAATCAAAAATACAATAAAGAGCATTGAAGTATCGAGTTCCAATGTATGACAGATAAACGTAACGATCGTTCTCAGCTGAAACCATTGTACTTGGCACATCTTCCTCACTCACTTAGGTCTCACTTCTAACTTCAGTTTCAATCTCAAAATCCACAAAAAATATATGACCAAAATCAAACTTAATCTTCATAAATTTAAACAATCAAAGCATCTGACATGATGTCTGTACCTCATTCCAGTAAATTACGAAGGGGGACTGATTTCTAAACAGTAAACTTCAAACATCAACAAAATTCGCCATATAAATCTGCAAATTATGAAATTTGCATACAATTCCACAAAAAACTTAGTTTAATTTACATTCACTATTTACATTCACTATTTACATACAAATTAAGAAATTTACATACAATTTCACAAAAAACTTAGTTTAATTGCAGATAGATATACAATAGCCAGAGATGAGATGACGAATAAACCGAAGTGTAACAACTAGCCTTAGAATAGCCGACGACAGCATCTGCAAACACAAACAGAGGGTCATGAGCGATGATTGTTGAAGCCTTATGAATCGATATGGAGATCCAATCTGGTGATTTTTACTTTTGGTGGAAGATTGAGAGAAGGGAAAGGTCATATAAATGAGGGGCAAAATAGTCGATATAGTTTAAAATCCGTGGATGAATTTACATAAAGCCTAAAACCCTCCTTTAATTACCTCCCAGAGATTATAAAACCGATTAAAGGGCCCCAAGAACACCCAAGAAAATCTTATTACAAGTTATAAATGGCGGCAATATTGTTCAAGAATCAATCTTTCTTCTTGCTCATTACTAGTTTCTCTCTCCTCCATCTTTGTCTCGCCGATCACCATCATCACCACCGCCACCACCATCATCATTTTCATCTCCATCGACACCACCGAGGCCATACTCATATTCATACTCCACCTCCTCCTCCGCCTATACCCCCAACACCACCCACACTGCCTACACCGCCCATACCACCGCCCATACCACCGCCTACACCACCTCCCACACAGTCTACAACGCCGATAATGGCGCCTACACCATCCACAGTAGTGCCTACGCAGCCAACACCGGCGATACTGGCTACACCGCCCATGCCGGCTGCAGGGCCTACACAGATCATTGTCAGCGGACGCGATGACCCTTTCTTGCCACCCAAGATTAGAAGAGCGATTGAACCCAAAAAACCGTTGGGAAATTGGGTTCTTCTGCAAAGAAGTATAGGGATTTCTGCCATGCACTTGCAGCTTCTACACAATAACAAAGTCGTTATCTTTGATCGGACCGATTTTGGACCATCAAATCTCAGTCTCCCGTTCGGAGAACCTTGCCGGATCAACGACGAAGTGGTTAGACCTGATTGCACCGCTCACTCCATCCTCTACGACGTTCCTTCAAATACATTCCGACCACTTACTGTACAAACCGATATATGGTGTTCATCAGGCTCCGTCGATCCCAGCGGCACACTTGTGCAAACAGGAGGCTACCACGCCGGCGACCACAAAATACGTCTCTTCACTCCATGCCGAGATAATTCTTGTGATTGGGTTGAATTGGAAAGGAATTTAACTGTTCAACGTTGGTATGCGTCAAATCATATTCTCCCCGACGGAAACATTATCATCGTCGGTGGCCGGAGAGCTTACAGCTATGAGTTTTATCCAAGAAACCCAATTGGGTCTTCTTCTTTAAATTTGTTTAATCTCACGTTCTTGATAGAAACAACAGATTTTCAAGAAGAGAACAATCTGTATCCGTTTCTTCACCTCTTGCCGGACGGAAATCTGTTTATCTTTGCGAATCAACGTTCGATATCGTTGGATTACGTGCACGGCCGAGTCGTTCGCGAGTTTCCGCCGATTCCCGGAGAAAAAAGATCGTACCCATCAACCGGTTCATCAGTTCTGATACCGATTTCGCTCAACGAAAATGTCCGATCGCCGCCGGTGGAGGTTATGATTTGCGGCGGCGCAAGAGGAGGGTCTTTTCCGATGGCGGAGCAAGGTGTGTACATGGCAGCTGCAAGAACCTGCGGACGTATGGACCTCAATGCTCCTCAGCCCAGTTGGACCATGGAGATGATGCCCCTCCGCCGGGTAATGCCGGATATGATCGTTTTACCGACCGGCGACATCATCATCATTAACGGAGCGGCGAGAGGTACCGCCGGTTGGGAGAACGCGGTTGAACCGATTTTGCACCCGATTCTTTACGAGCCAAGAAAGAGACTATTTACTGTGCTCACCCCCACCAAAAGACCCAGGATGTACCACTCAGCAGCCACGTTACTTCCAGATGGCAGAATCTTAGTCGGTGGAAGTAACCCACACGTGTCATACGAGTTCACCGGAAACTACCCAACTGATTTGAGTTTGGAGGCCTTTTCGCCGCCGTACATGGACGGGAGATTCGCTTATTACAGGCCTTCAATCTTGTCCGTTGAATATGGTATCGATGAAGGTATAATCTACGGTCAATATTTCACCATAACGTTGACTATGTCCTTGACTGGTTTAGATCTAAGGGTTATCGTATCGTTGGTTGCACCCTCATTTGCGACTCACTCATTCGCGATGAATCAACGAGTGCTATTTTTACACGTGGCTTCCGTTGAACAATATTCTGTGTTTGGGTATAGGGTTACGGTACGTGCGCCTTCATCACCAAATGTTGCACCGCCGGGGTATTATATGTTGTTTGTGGTACACGATGGGGTACCAGGTCAATCCGTTTGGGTCAATTTACAATCGAATTAGTTTTGGAAAATTCTTTTTGTTTTCATTTTGAATTCTTTGATGTTCTAAGTGAAGTTGATGAAAATATACTAATTAGTTTTGAAATTAGTTTCTCTATTCTAATTAATCAAACTTTAACGTGATTTCAATTTGTTTTGTGTTAATAATTGGTTTTCGGTTTTTCAAAATCGTACTCTTAACTTGGTTCAAAATAAAAGCAAATAAAACTCATATCTTCCATATAAATTAACACCGGAATGGTATCAATCGATTTAATTATCGGGTTGATTGCTTTTTATTTTGTTTTCTTCCGATCAAATTCCAAGTAGATACATATCCTTAGAAAGTACTAATGTGAATAGAGAATAATTTCCAAGGTTAAAAAATAAATTACAACTTGTAGAAAGCATTTTGTTTCCCAGTATTACGTGTCATTAATCATTATCATTTATATAGCTAAAGTTATGTTTTGACGTACTATCGTAAACCCGAACAACAAAAAGAAAATAACAAATCATAAGAATCAATGCAAAATTGTCTTTAAAATTTGAAACTTTGATTTGGAAAACTCGGGTGTTTGGCTTAGCTTTTTCTATGCTAAAAATTTTTTATGCTAAAAGTCATTTTAGGAAAAGATAAAAGCTAAAAGATGCTTGGCAAAAACCTTTTAAAAGCAATTTTTGGATTTTGGATATAAGAAAAATCAACTTTTTGGAAAAGTCATGAAAATCTGACTTTTTGTAACTTTTTGGAAGAAGACTTTTAGTCTCTAAAATGCTAAACCAAACACCCCCTGAGTGTGAAGACATAAATGAACGGCTAAGATAGTTATTTTATAAGATTCCAGAGATATCTTATTAAAAAAATTATTTTATAAGATTTTAGAGATATCTTAGGGCTTGTTTGATTTTGGTTTGAGTATGATGAGACATTCTTTTCTGACTCATTGGTAAGCAAAAACCTTTGACTCACATGAGAGATTAATAGTTGATTCGGTCCATGTGTGTTTCTTTCAAATTTTGCCATTTACTTTGATATCGTATATAACTTCCTCCATGGAACACACCCTTCTAAGCTTGCAAGTTGCAATCGTCCCCTTTCCGACTCCCTTGATGATCTTTGCATACAATTTTCATTTCCCATATTTTGTATTTTTTTATAATTATTTAATATATTTGTTAACATATTTTATAAAATAAATGAATACATTTTATTCGATACATATAGCAAAATGACAATATGATAATATCACTATATTACTATTTTCATCGTTCAACACACCTTATACAAAATCAAACTACAAAGTTTCGTAACTCAGTCGATCTTCTCACTAGTAACAACTATTAGGCATTCCGGTATGGGGCATCACCTTACGCGTGATGTCCTATGTGGTATGGAAAGCCACGCGTGAACACCGCCCTAAAGATGGGTGGGTGTCCTGTGGTGTGATACCTGCTACGGAAGAAGCTGGAGGCCATGATTGGTGGAGCTTTTATTTGTGTCTATCTCTCTCTACAATCTGTCTCTTCTTCTCTACCCATTCACTAGTGAACACCATTTCCATAACCTAGTAGCTTGGTTGTGGAATGGTTAAAATAATGACGTGACCTCTTTTTATTCTATTCTCACGTGTGAGGATACCCCTCAGCCTTAGGCTAAAGGGTATGGTCACATCCAACCTACCGAAAAAGTGATGCCACCTCATCGCCATGTCAACTCCACTACAAACCGACTAACCCTTGGAAATGGTTACCACTCCATATCATTTTTTTTTTAATTTTTTTTACAATATTAGATTAAATTAAAAAAATAATTCAAATAAAACACACATTAAAAACATTAAATTAAAACACATTGCATTAATTTTAAAACACACAAATATAAGTCCTAAATTACTTAAAAACAACAAAAAAAATTCTAAATTACTTATTTATCATAAAATACTTTAAAAAAAAAATCCTAAATTACTTATTTATTCTAAATTACTTAAAAAAACACACACAACATAACAACTAAAACATAAATATTAGAACCTAATCGTCATATTTAGCACGTACACGTTGTTAGATTTTCACAAATATCGCGAGATTTTCGGGGTCGAGATCCGGTTGGGGTTTGGTGTTTATGATTTGAAGATTGGTATGTGACATCCCCATTTTCACGGCCAGAAAAGACCGATTTTGTTTATGATTTATAAAAATCAGAGTACCTCTTTTAATAAAAATGTTGCGGAATTTGTTCCCAGTAAAACATGATAAATACATTATCAAAGCATTTCCGAATAAAAAATAGTTTTATTCATTTTAAAAATTTTGGGATGGCATCGTTAATACCGAAACATAAGCATAAACAGAACTTACATTCATTATCACTAGTGATTTATATCTCCTTAATCTCTCAGTGTAATGTGACTTATCAACACCTATAATATAAATAAACTAAGTGGGTCAGGTTGGGAAACCTGGTAAGTACATAGGGTTTTCAACCCACAATAAATAAGTTTATTAACTTTATCAAACCAAACAAACCCGATTACCCATTCCTGTTATCCTCACTTTATGTCCCTAAAACATCTAACACAAGGGACCTAGTCTAAGGACTTTCATCGGGGTGACAACACATGTTTCAGGGGTTCCTCAGCAATTCATGTCAAATAAGGCAACCATGTGGGGGATGGAGTATTGCTGGTGAGCACACAGTTCAAATAAGCACCTACAGGTTGCGAGCCTGCTAGCGTTCCACTGGACTGTCTAGAATAGTTCGTGGGTGTCATCTATACTCCGCTAAATGACTGGATCATTAATAACATCTATATCCAGGCCTCTCATTATTTTATTTGGTCACACAACAACTATTACATCTACCAATGTTTACCCAACACCTTTTGTAGATATAAAATATATGTACAGTTTAAATCATTTAAAACTTGTATAAAAATATTTCACCCAGCATAGACAGCAAGTATTTAGACAATATGCACACATAACATGTAATTTATATTAAATACTTTATATCTATGTGTAAGATGAAAAGAATCATGCACTCACTTGAAAGGTGGTGATTCCAAACTTAGACAGCGCTTCGCTTCTTAAAAATAATTTCTTTCGATGAAACCTAGTATTATTACCACTAGAGTTTAATATATTATTCGCCGAGACAAATTAATAGTCTAGCTATTATTACTATTATATATGCGTTAAACAATACTTATATAACCCAAAATAATAGCTCAAGTACTTATTATAAGTTCCTAATAACGTTACTATAATTAAATAAAAGCTATATTAAAAAATAGCGTAGACGTAGCTCACTTACAACGGGTTTTATAGAAAATCGGCTTTGCTTGGAGCAGTGTTCCTGAGCCGAAAAGCTCTTCTTCTCGGAGCCGTCGAGCACTCCAGGGATTTCGCCTCGTGCTAGGGATGTTTCCTAGGCTTTTGGGGGGGGGGGGGTTCGGTTCTAGAGAGAGAGAGAGTAAAGAGAAGAAAGAACGGGAAATGTGTGAAGAAAATGAGGGTGAGAGAGGTTCTATTTATAGGGTGAAAAATGGTTGAACTTGGTGCCGCATTTCACCATCTAGTGACAAGACTTTGGAAGAAAGCAGTGACCAAGATTGTGCCACATCACCAATTCCGTACAACACACTTCCGACTTCTAAAATCCGTAACTTTCACATACGACCTCCATTTTTGATGTTATTTATATCCACACGTAGGTAAAAATAAGATCTACAACTTTCATTTTGACTCTGTTGACTAATTCTCGACCGATCTTAAATTTAACAGTACGAGGAGATTATATTGTTAAATGTCCGCATAAAAATTCATAACTTCTACATACGGACTCTGTTTTCGTCTGTCTTTTTACCATTGAGTTCCTATTAACGAGATCTTCAATTCTCATTTAGGTCGCGTAGGCCAAAAAAACGCTCAATCTAAAATTCGAGTTTCGGACTGTGCAATGTTAAGTCAAATCTTAGAAAATTCATAACTTCCTCATACGAAGTCAGATTTGGGCATTTTTTTTTGAATGTTCTCGGTTTAACATATACTACAACTTTTGTTTATATTTCTAAGGCTAAAAAGTCCTCCATCGTAAATTCACTATTTATATCTCCCGGTGTCATGCTGGTTTTGCCGTAAAACTTCGACGGACCATAACTTCTTCGTTATAACTCAGATTTCAACGTTCTTTATATGTACGAAACCCTTGAGACGTATTCTACAACTTGGTTAAGATTATTTATTCTAAATAATCTTTTGTCAAAAAGTCATTTTCGACCTCTATTATCTCTAATGGAAAAACTCAATTTCTTGAGGGTAGTTATGGTAAAACTAACGAAAGTCGTTAGTTTTGGTAACCCTAATCCGGATTAATATTACTGGCTTCCAATGCAACTAAGGACGGCCCAACCCTAATGAAACCCTAATCTTGTTCAATATATAAACGACTCTTTTTATACAGAAGGGGGTTACCTTCTTTAGCTCTCGTTTTCATCATACATTCACGGAACCCTTTAGCATATTGGCTTACGTTTTCTGTGCCTAGAAACGTAAGTGCCCACTTAGATTATCCTAGGCTGAATTTCTTGTAACCCAGGCATAAGGTAGAAATATCAGTTCAGAAAGTGATATCACGACCCAAGTTGGTATCCAGATCTCCTCCACAAACCCTAATTTTCCCACTAAGATCTTAGAACTGATAGCCACGCAGTGCGATTCGATGTCGACGACGAAGGTGGCCGATGAAACCAAATCTTATGCCTTTCTTCAGATCTGGTCATTATCGTTGGTGGCTTTGAGCGACTGTCTGGTCGCAGAGTTTATTATCTTCGCAGAGCCAAACGTCCGCTCCTTCCTTTCTTCTACTCATAGCTCAAACATAGGGATATCATGATAAGTAAAGAGTAAGAGGAGGTGGTTTCCGATCGTAGGAGGCGGAGGGAGACGACAACAAGTAGATCGGAGGTGGTGAAGAGGCGTCTGTGCGGTGATCCGGCAACGTTCTGCTGATAGTTCTAGCAGAGTCTGGTGCTCCAAATCTAAGTTAAATGAGAAAGAAAGGGTGGAGAGAGAGAGAGAGAGAGAGAGAGAGAGAGAATGTGTACCGGTGTGTATCAGAAAAATAAATAAAAATATTTATTAAAACTAGTGATTAAAATTTGTTTTCAAACGTAAAAATAAAAATGTTCTCATTGGAATATATATATATATATATATATATATATATATATATATATATATATATATATATATATACTCTTTTAATTTCCCATTTTATAGAATATTAATAAAAATTTTCAAACAAATACTCTGTTTCAACAACACATTCCATTTTATAGAATGTTGTATCATAGTATACATCTCCTTTGGCGTTTTCCTACACACTCCATTTTCAACATTTTAATCTAATATTTTGTAGCATCAAAACCTTGGATTCGGAGCCTAAAAGTCTGCAAATGGCCACTCGCTACCAGCCTTCTTTCTTGAAGATCTTGCAGGACCCATCCGCTGCCTCTTACATAGTACTCATCTTCTTCTACTGCGATTTAATTTCAGTTTTTTCTGTTCTGTTGATTCCATTCATGAAATCGTGGTATTTTGCAGGCACTACCACCTGATTTTGTCCGTGATCACATGGAGAACAAGATCCCTGAGAGCTCGATAATCCGATCTGTAACTGGAGAGCATTCATGGAGTGTGAAGCTCAAAAACATTGATGGAATCCACTGTTTTGCAGATGGATGGAACAGTGTAGTTGCAGATAGCCAGTTGGGTTTATGGGATTTTCTTGTATTTTCGCTAGTTGATGAATCCACCTTCACACTTACAAGTTTCGGTCCCAATGGGTGTGAAAAATTTTTGCCCTCAGAAATCCCTGAAAAGAATGGTAAAGAAGAAGAAGAAGAAGAAGAAGAAGAAGAAGAAGAAGAAGATAATAATGGTGCTGGTGATCATGGTGTTTGTCGTGATGGCGATGAAGAAGATGATGAAGATGACTGCGGTGAGATCGGCGGGGATGATGATGATGGTGTTGGAGATCCTCTCTTTAAGATGATTATATCTCAAGGCCACAAATGTTGTATGGTAAGATTCGTTGTGCTATAACTAACATAAATTCTTCTTAATCCTTCAGATTTATGGGTTCTAAAAAGAGAATGTAACTTGTGTTTGCATATATCAGCGGGTCCCATCGGAATTTGTGCGGTTGGCCGGAATCGAGGCGGGAAGAAGAAGTATAATCATGAGGAATCCTGCCGGAAAAGAGTGGCAGATGAGTTTTCGTTCAGAGAGCAAGGTGTGTACAAGGTACTATTTGTCTTCAGTTTGGAGTGATTTCTGGCGACTGAATAACTTATCAGAAGGAGATGAATGCGTCTTCAAGTTCATAAAGAACGAAGACAAATTACTTCTAGAAACCATAACCAAGAAACACCCAGCCGGAAAAGTTCAGGCAGCTGAGGTCCCGGCGACTGTGGTTTTGAAGAGACCGGTAGGGCGGCCGCCGCGTGTGGAGGTGGACAAGGAGGTGCGGGCCAAGAAGCCAGCTGGCAAAGTTCAGGCGGCTGAGGTTAGGAAACCGGTAAGACGGCCGCCGCGTGCAGAGGTGGTGAGAGAAGAGGTGGGGAAGAGATCAGTTGGAAGACCACGTAAGAGGAAGTAGAAGAGTACAGCTGGCCTCTGATGTTACTTTTACATTTTTAGAAGGTTTAGTGGGCTAACTTTAATTGTTGCGTATATGTAAAATGTTTGGCTTTATGTGAAACATTTTTTTGGCCCTGTTTAACAGTTAGACTTAATTGGTATGTAATGTAGGGGTGTCAAATATATGCTAAAGAAAATCAATGAATATGCTACCAATCGAACCAATTAAGTTGGTTACCGATATGTTTGGTAGTCAATATATTTGGTTGGTAATACCATACTAATTGAGTAATCTTGTTACGGTAATGGTATAGAATTGGGATAATGACTTGGGAGGGTAATAAGGTTTCCAGCTTGTCCGTATTAGATAACTAAAGTTTTTTTTGTGCATATTAGACCAATATGGTTGTTAATAGAAACCATATTGGTCTAATACGCATAAAAAACCTTAGTGACCTAATACGGACAAACTGGAAATCTTATTACCCTCCTAAGTCATTAACGCTAATTATTTAGAAAACATGCTTACTAATCAATGTGACTGATTTTTTTGACTGAAAATAGTTGGTTCCATTTAAACTTATCTCACAACCCTTCCAGAACTTCTAAGTCCAGAAACTCATATGATTGATGATCTTCATTACACAAATATGCAACATTTTATCAATAACTTCTTTTTTGTCATTTAAATGTTTACATGAACACATCCATATGTACAAAAACAAAATATCACTTTGATACCTCCCATCAATGTCTATATTTGATAACGAATGGAAATATAAAACCAACAGGAACTTGCAGATGATCCCTATTATCAATTATTTTATAAAAAGCAAAACCACAACATGAAGTAAGAAATTGAAGTTTCAAAATTAATCAAAATCAGCACATAAACAAACACATACATATTATATACAACACATAAACGAAAGTTTATAAAGCATGAAACTTAATGATAGGAAAAGTAAAAAGCTTAAATGAGACTTTATAGAAAGAAAGATCACTCTTACTTGCCACAAATTGTTGAAGACATCAACAAGAAGATCAATCTGATCATAGAATCCACATGTTGTCTGATTATGACTTCAGTAGATGAACTACTGAAACGTAAGAATTGGAATTGAACTCTATTAGCATTTGAAAAGGGAACTAGGGTTAAAAAAAAATTTGGACCATTTCTTGATTTGTATGTGTCATCCTTGCGCAGGGGCCATGCTAATCTTCTCTGTATCGTTCCAATTTTATCGGATGTCCCCAAAGGGACGACTATAGATGAAGAGCTTCGTCATATAGATGAGTAGCAGGTTATATGGGACGACGCGAGTTCTAAACGAAGTAGTTTACTGTTGATGGTCATATATTCTCAATGTCTTTAAAAATAGGGTTAATGAATTAGGAGGGTAATAAGGTTTCCAGTTTGTCAGTATTATGTCACTAAGGTTTTATTGTGCGTGTTAGACCAACATGGTTGTTATTACCGTTTAGAAATAGTCCTTTTTACCCATTAAAACCGGTAAAAGGACTATTTCTAAACGGTAATAACAACCATATTGGTCTAATACGTACAAAAAAAACCTTAGTGACCTAATACGGACAAGCTGGAAACCTTATTACCCTCCCAAGTCATTACCCCTATAGAATTTCGAATACCACGGTAATACCGTACCAACCAATTATATATATATATATATATATATATATATATATATATATATATATATATATATATATATATATCATTTTAAAAATGAATGTTGGTTATAATTTAAGGCTTGGATGATTACCCGATGTTCACAAATAGGAACTTAGTAAAAGACAAATTAATTTATGCAAGTTCGGAAAACTTCCGAACCACGGGTGATGATTATATATATATATATATATATATATATATATATATATATATATATATATATATATATATATATTTCATAAATTAATTTGCTTATTTTGTTTTCAAGTTCGGAAAACTTCCGAACCACGGGTGATTGATTATAATTTGAAGATTTATATAGATTATCAACGATTAAAATCTTCAAATTCATAATAGTTTGAGTTTTTGGTATATACCAATATCAATATATACCAACCAAAATTGTTGGTAACCAACAAGTTAGTACCAAGTAAAAAGACAAATTAATTTATGCAAGTTCGGAAAACTTCCGAACCACAGGTGATGATTATATATATATATATATATATATATATATATATATATATATATATATATATATATATATATATCATAAATTAATTTGCTTATTTTGTTTTCAAGTTCGGAAAACTTCCGAACCACGGGTGATTGATTATAATTTGAAGACTTATATAGATTATCAACGATTAAAATCTTCAAATTCATAATAGTTTGAGTTTTTGGTATATACCAATATCAATATATACCAACCAAAATTGTTGGTAACCAACAAGTTAGTACCAAGTATATTTGGTACGTTAATGGTAGCTAAATTTCACTACCAACTATAGTTGGTACAATTATTTATAAACTTTTTTTTATAAAAATTTTAAAATGTTTCATAGATTTTGTATGACAATTTATTATTTTTTTTATAACATTTTAAAATATTTTCGTAAAATACAAGTTTAAAATGTTGTATTAAAAAAATTAAAAGTTTATAAACTTCAAATTAAAAGGTATTAAAAAGATGAAATAATTTTAAAACATTTACATTATATAGATTTATTTTTGTTTATTTATTTGCTATGTAATATTTGTTTTAGAAGACCCTCCATACTTATTATTACATATTTAATTAATTTAATTTTGTTGTTAGATACTATTTATTTTAAAAATATTGTATATGCTTAAAAACAAAAGAAAATAAAACATAAAAGACTATATAAAGTATTTCACAAAACAAAAACATATTTATTAATTAAAAAGTAAAATTTGGAATCAATCAATATTCAATTAATATTTACGATATTACGGATATTTTAAAAATAATATTTGAAAAAATAATACAAAAAAATGAAAAATAAAAAGAAAATGACTTATTATGGTAATTAACTTTTCGTTTTATTCATATTTAGACAACTTTCTATTTTTTGTATGCATTTGACCATTTAACTTGTTAAATGTATTCATATATTATTATTATCACCTGTTATAGTCGGTGACAACGGTAATATATGAACAAATATAACAAGCTAAATGGGTAAATGTGTACAAAAAAAGTTGTCCAAATATGAACAAAATGACAAAGATAATTACCATGGTAAGTCATCTCGAATATAACCTAAGTCCATTGACTTAAATGTTTAACGACATCTTAACATTCATATTCCATTAAACTTTATACAGTTTAATGAAATTCCACATCATCATCATTATATTTTTAAACATAATTATAAATTTAAAAATAAAAAAGACAAAATTACAAAAATGGTCCCTATGGTATGCATTTTTTTGGGGGTTTTAGTCCAAACCACAACTTTTTTGGATTGATGGTCCTTTTGAGGTAGTTTCGTTGCGTTTTTGGTCCCTCGGTAAAGTGAAATGACTGTAATACCCTTTGGACATTTATTTTACATTTTTCTTTCAATTTTTTAAATCTAATAGTTATTTTAATAATTAAAAAAAAAGAGGCTCATCTCTCTCTCTCTCTCTCTCTCACACACACACACACACACTCTCTCTCTCTCTCCACATGAGTTTCTTCATCCTTCAACCTTTAAGCATACCGATAATCTGCAATTAAAAACGTATACATCGGTCCACACGATTGTTAAAACCACTCAACCCCAAATGATTACCTTCAATTTCTTTCTGTACAAATCATGAAGAATCAAGAAACTTGTGCAAGAAACTTGTTACAGAAGAGACCATTTTGGGGAAGATTGGGGAAGAGACCATTTTCAGATCGTTGATTTAGATTAAGAAACAAACTTGTGCAAGAAACTTGTTACAGAAGAGACCATTTTCACTCCAGCAAATCGCACCCTTACTTCTTTTGAAATATATCGATTTCTCTTATTTATTCTTTCTTTATGATCGCAGATCCCATCTCTATGCTTGTATGTCTGGCACATCATAGAAATAGGAAAATTGAACCCCTTCTTCAATCGTCGATGAGAAATTAGGAACCAGGATAAGAAGGGGTTGCACTCTTTTTCTCCTTCTCATGCAGGTATCATATCTAATTTTTTGTTCGTCCAATCACAATCCTGTATAGATCTGATATCAATGGGTTTGTGATCGGGTTCGACAGTCCATGTTGGGAAAGCACACATGAAGCTGCTTCATAGACATCTCATGTTGTTTCAGCTCTTGTCGATGGATGAGCCACTTTAAAATCATTGTCTCCATTCCAATCAAATGGGTTTCACACCCTTTTTGTGTTCTTCACTGTATGTGAGAGTGTGTTTTTCAAATTTCCAATGTGTGTATTAAACCCCAATCAAGTGTGTATGTATCGAATCTAGCAATTGAACCCTAATCAAGTGTGTATCAATCGAGCATGTTTGAACATTGTAGAATACAGAAATAGGAATCTATGGTCTCCACAGGTGGGTATATGACTGTGTGTGTGTGTGTGTGAGAGAGAGAGAGAGAGAGAGAGAGAGAAATGACCCTCTTTTTTTTAATTATTAAAATAACTACTAGATTTAAAAAAATTGAAAGGAAATGTAAAATAAATGTCTCAAGGGTATTGCAATCATTTTACTTTACCGAGGGACCAAAAACGCAATGAAACTACCTCAAAATGACCATCAATCCAAAAAAGTCGTGGTTTGGACTAAAACCCCAAAAAAATACATACCATAGGGACCGTTTTTGCAATTTTATAATAGTTAAAAAAAAGGAGTAAATTACATGAATGGTCCCTATGGTTTGAGCTAATTTGCATGTTTGGTCCCTAACTTATTTTTTTAACTCTGAAGGTCGTTACTATTAGTTTTTGTTGCGTGCTTGGTCCCGTTCATACCTAAAAAGACTATTTTACCTTTGATTTTTTAATTTATTTAAATAAACACACACCTAACCTCACTTCCACCTCACTTTACATTACCTTACCTACCTCATCTTATTTAAATAAACTAAAAAAATCAAGGGCAAAATAGTCTTTTTAGGTAAGACAAGGACCAAATGTGCAACAAAAACAAATTGTAGGGACCTTCCGAGTTAAAAAGTAAGTTAGGGACCAAACATTCAAATTACCCCAAACCATAGGGACCATTCGTGTAATTTAC